ACGAACTCACTGGGTGGCTGGATGGGTGCTCGCTCCGGCACGAGGGGTGGCGAAATGCTGCTGGTGAGAGGTTTGGCTGAAGCTGGAACACGGAACCGTGGTCTGCAGGGCTGGAGTACGCTGCCCGCTCCTCGGCGGCCGCGTGGGACTGCCAGCTCCCGGCATGACCCGCTGCCAGGGAGGAGGAGGAGGAGGAGGAGGAGGTCCACCTCCAGCCCTGCGGGTCAGCCAAGGACCTAGCAAAATGAAAGGGCGTTGTGCCTCAGTCTCTCCGGACCCCTCAGTGGGGAGGAAAGTAACCCCAAAGAAATTTAATCTGAATTTGGTGCAAGTTCCTGGGTTTTCATACTAGTTTTTCTTTCATGGTGTGTTAAGGGCAGCATGCCACTTCTTTTTTTTTGAAGTTGTAAAATTAATCCATTCCCTTGTAATGCTTCCTTTAAGAGATCTTCAGAAAGTCCCTAATGTAGCACACTGAATTTCTCCTTGATAAGAGTGTCCTGCAGCTTTCAGTTCTCCTTTTTCCTGAGATGCATTGCTTCGCGTGTCCCCCTCGGAGGATGCGGGCTCCGTCCTCAGCCCCTCTCCTGGTAGATGTAGGGGCTGATCCGAGGCTGGTCCTGAGTCCCCTCCTCAGAAATCCTGTGGAGCAACTCCTTGGGGATTTAATTAATGATATTTTGAGATGCTGCGTGCTCTCTAGCTGCTTTTCCGTGAAGCCCCAACGGGTTGCCTTGGACCGGGGTCCCAGCAGCAGAGCCAGGAGCAGCACCCAGTGCGCAGGATGGGAAACCCCAAGGAGTGCTCGGAGCAGGTGTCACTTCTATATTAAAATGCATTTTCTGTAAATAATGTGCAGGCATGCCAGGGCTCCACGCCACGCCAGGGCCTGCCAGCACACTGTATGGCACAGCGTATGTGTCAGAAATGTAGTATTTTTCTGGTGAAGTGCATCTCAGCTGTGCCTTTCTGCCGTTAGGAGTAGCCTTCCCCATTTCTTGCTTGTTGCCCGATGGGAAGTGATGCAGGAAAACGCTCTGCTCCTCTCCTAAATGAGCTCATTCCTTGCAAATGAGTAAATCGGCAGCTGCAGAAGAGCTCCGGCCTTTTGTTAAGCAACAACCAGATGGCTTTTGTGGTTTTAGTCAGCTCTGCAAATTAGATAGAGTCCTCCTGCTGTTGATGTTCCAGGACAGTCAAATTCCTTTAACTACTTGAATTGTGGCTGTACACCCTTCCAGCTCATTTGGATTTCCTGGCTTATCTGGTATCCTCACCTCCCTCTTTTGAATGCAGATCCATTGGAAACCTTTTTTTTTTTTTTTTTTTTAAAAAAAAACCCAACCTAACAAACTCCATCCTGATTCCAGCTGTGTGACAGCTGCTGGTAAAACAATTAAAAGGAGTAGAAACTTAAAAAAAAAAAAAAAAAATTATTAAAAACAAAGGGGAAAAGAGAAACACAAGAAATAAAAGTCCCGTTGGTCCTCAGAGACAGGATTTGCCTCTGCGGAGGAAGGAGGGCTTGCTGACTCAGGCTCTGAGCAAGATGGGTGAAGTTTTCCCTCCAGAGAAGCTCGAGCAGGGACGAGGTTGCTTTGCCACCGATGGGGAGCTCACGTTCGCCCCGTCTCAGGGCACGCAGCTCTCCCGCTGCGGCTCTCCCCGGGGCTTGTCAGCCTGGTAGAAACATGCTGCTCTATTGCACACAATGCACGTGTCATATTAAATACTGCAAAATGGCGTGTTAATAACTGCAAGCTCTAGGCCTGCTGGTTGTGGGTATTGCTCCCCGGTTGGATTGTTGCTCCAGAAGCGTTGAGAGCGTTTGCACCACCGGGACCGGACTCTGACGTCAGGCTGGAGAGGGGCATGGCCATCGGGCTGGGCCACAGCCTTGAACCCTCTCCAGGACCGCAAAGAGATGAAAAGCCCAGACATCTCAGAGCTGAAGGAGACGGATTCCTAATGGAAAACACATTATCAGGTAAGGAGTTGCGTATTCCTCGTTTGTTAAGTGAAAAATTATACTTGGGGTATTTTCGTGCAGGGATTGTTTGGTGATTAATTTTTTTCCGTATTATTTTGATACAGTGTTATGCTGAATGCATAAGAGCTGTACTTTCCAGCTCTGCTCTCTGACAAACATTGAGCTTTGCCTCAAAATGCTTAAGAGGCAAAGGAGCAAAAATATCCTGCTTTTCTGGGTGCACGTGGATTTTGATTCTCGCCGCTGATGTACTTTGGCTCTAGGCAAAGAGCCACAGGTTGAGCGCTGGGTCCTTCCAGCTAACGATCCCTCCCTTCGCTCCCCCTCCTCCAGCCTTGCTATCACCAAGAAAGGCTGCTAAAAAAGTGGGCCCCCAGATTTCACTTCTCTGTATGAATTAAAGTGTTGAACTTTGATACAGGGCAGGCTTAAAGCTATTTTTTTTCGAATTGAGAGTAGGAAAAAAAACCAGTTTCAAAAACCGTGTGTTAAAGAGTAGAGTCAGTACAAATCTGTCTTGTATTTATCAGGAGGTAAAGACAGGGCTGCGTAGGGGCCAGATACAGCTTTTTGTGTTTGCGATAACTGGCAAACAGGAGGGTATGGAGAGAGCACGTTCACCTCTGCGCTCCCCGTGCACAGGGATTAATCGTCGGCTCTCAGAAAGCCGGCGGTCCTCTGGGACGCACGAGATGCATCACACGTTGCTTTGTTCGTAGTCAGCATCAAGAGGTTCCTGCCAGTACTCCTGAAGAGCAACTTGCTTTTCGGAGTTAGTCACAATATGCTTTGTTAAATTTTTATTAGAGGAAAAAGTCTGAGGAGGTGCCAAATAGGAAATCCCTGAGGCGGTAAATAAATGAAGTGGTTATATGGGACATGCCTTCCTGGGACAGCCCTTGGTAGAGCAGAGCTAGACACAGGATCCCAGTAAAAGTTATTGCAGCGCCTGAGGAGCCTGTTCCTGGAGAGCAAGAAGTTTGGGTGCATTTACTGAGCCCTCGGAAGGGAAATGTTCCAGAGACACCCAGTTTTACAAGTGATGCTCTTACTGGTTTAAGGCTTCTCAAATACCGTTGCCTCCAAATACATTTCTGATGTTTGTTTTTGTCTTCTGAATCTGTAGGTTTGAATCTCAGGTCTTGTGGAGGCACCTCTCCTGCTTATGTTTTGTGTCTTTTGATATCTAATTTAAATTGAAATTTTTCCTGATGAAGTTCGCACAGCATTTGCAGGCAGCATCATTTGTTTAACTTCCTGGGTTCATGTTTCAGCTTCCAGGGGTATTTGCTTCTTGCTCCAAAGGCAAAAATAAGATTAAAACTGATAGAAAATTCGTTGGAACTTTTAAAAAAGCTTTAGATTCGCTCCATCTCTTCTTTTAATGAAGTGGTTTTTACATCTGTAGAGATTCAGTGCCATTTTTACAAGACCATCATGTTTTCTATGTTATCCAAATACTCCAGCGTGAACCTTTGTTTACTGCCCCAACATCCCGGGCTGGGCTGCTGCTTTCAGTTCACGACGACTGAAATCCAGACCTGGGCACAAAAAGTAGCACTTCCTAGAAAACCCTTCCTAATCGCCTTTAACCATCGTCATAGGCTGCGATGGGGAAGCGCGGGAGAAAGCTCCAGGCGGGGAAAGCAGAGCACCGAGGAGATAAACCTTGTGCTAACAGTCAGAGGGTAAACAGGGGTTCTGGATCCATCGCCCCTGGAGTACACAAATATTTAATTCTTCCGAAAACAAACAATGAAGGGAACAGAGTAGTAGAACCATTTATTAACTCCAGCTGCCCAATCCACGAAATCAGGAAACGATGTCCAAGGGGAAAAGAGCATGATGCCTTTGAGGTTGCTTTGATTTTTCATTTCAGCATTTTTAAAGGATTAAAATACAAAAACATGTTCTGAGGTTCCCTCCCCTTCTCTCTTTCTGGGAAGGTCCTGAAACCAGTCACTCTGAAATTGCTGTTGTTCTTGCACAGGATATTTGCTGCTTGGCCACATGATCAAAGTTGGAGCCAAAATAAATATTCCTCATAAAAATATCCCCCAATAAATACCCCCTGCTCAGTATTTAGGAGGATATAAAGAAGCACATTGGTGTTTTAATGCTGCCCTTCTCTAGCTATACAAGGGTTATAATTCATTATATTAGCATTTGGGTGAAAACGTGACACTTTAATGCTGCCCTTCTCTAGCTATACAAGAGTTATAATTCGTTATATTAGCATTTGGGTGAAAACATAGCAAACTGGTCTCTTACCAGCCTGCTTAAGGGAGACATTGGCAGCATCTATTTTAGGCTCCTTCTAGCATCTAACCACCTCCTGGGTGGCAGTTACCTTCCCCCTATAGACGATGTGGAGAGAAGGCAGGTATGTAATATGGAAGTTTTAGGGTCTAGTTACGGTATCTAGAGAAGATGAGCAGCGGTTTGCCAAAAAATCACATGTCTAAGGCGAGACATAAATTCATTGCAAGAAATGCAGGATCTGAGGCTCAGCTGTATGTGCAACGTGAACCAGAGCTACTGCACCCAGGAGGTGGACTTGACAACTGCAGGTCATGTATGTTTTAAGTATTTTGAATAAAAAAGAAAAGTAAAATTTGTATCTTCTTTCTTCTATATGCTATTCAATCCTCTCACATTTTTAGTGCAGGACAGACAGGCTTTTCTGTTGTTAATTTTACGTAGATCAAGAATCTAACTATAGCCAGTTGAATGCCTCTTTGTACAAAGCCTCTTTGGGATGAAGAAGGATGAATCTGTGCACGTGGAAGAGGCAGCTGGGTCCAACCCAGCTCTCTGTCCCCTTGCGTGATCTTGGACTACTTCCTTCAAACTTCTCCTTGGTTGCCCAAATTGTAAAATGGAGAAAAGCTCTTAACCTTTGGCATGTTATTGGCTTCCTCTGAAGTGGCATTTACCTGAGCAAATATATTAACTCCCAGTGATCTGTTTTATTCTAAATGATATTTTCTTTCTCATCCTAGCCAGGAGAATGCAGGGGATATTCAAGAGAGCCTCAAAAATATTTCAGCAAACCCGTGCTCTCCTATGGAAAAATATTCTTCTGGCGTGGAGGATGAAGACAGAAAGTTTTCAGGCAAGTATTAGTTCTTCCAAAGGGAAGTTAGGATTTCCACTATGAAGTATTTTTACATTGCATTGTTTTTATACTAGGTGATATAGAGAAGCCTCAGCTGGTAATGCGGTTCTCTGGAAAATGTCAGCAGTTACACTTCTTCCCGTGACGCTACAATATCACGGCATAATAAGGGCTTGTTACAAAGCTGGTTTGTTGCTTTTGGTTGTTGATCCCATTTCTGCACTGTCCAGAAGAACACAATGTCCAATTCACGATTACTGGTGTAAAATTATCAGCAGACCTCGTTGGCTCTGGTACTAAGAAAACATGTTTTTCATTTGGAACATTCCTCATGTTTTCAAATTATTACACCTGTGAAATAGCTCTTCCTCATTTACAGAAAGAAGGCGTTCACGGCTGGAGAAGCCGGACTGTGCAGCGCTGGATGAGAAAGGTCCTTGAAGACACTTTCCATACCACCCAACCTCCAAGTTGCTGTGCTGCCACTCACCTTTACATTTCCTTCCTTTTGTCTAGGAATGGATTACATCGGTGGTTTTTCTCTTGATAATACAAACATCATCAAGTATGTTATTCCACCACCCGCGACAAGAAATTCCTTACAAGTTCCTCGGACGATTAGATGATCCTGCCTTTAACGCTGTGGGAGTTACACTCGCATACACACCTGTAACAAACACCACCAGGCGAATAATGAGCAAAGTGGCTTCGGATTCTGCAGTGACGGGTAACGCCGCTCTTAAATCCTTGTAGCTGCAGTGCCTGAACCCCCCCGACACTGTGGGCACCTCGGTCCTCGTTGTGGTGGGGGGCGAAAAGGATTTAGACAATACAATTTTTGAGGGTACAAATTTTGGCCAGTGCACATTTTCATTTTGTTGCATGACTAATCAAAGTTTCAGCCGTCATGATTTTATTCTTTTTTTTTTCTTTTTTTTAATGACAGGTATAATAATAAAAGAGGTGGAAAATGAGAAAAAACTGGAAACAAGAGCAATTTTGGAGAAAGACATTATTGGTGTTGTTTTTAAGGATGACTTCTCCTACCGTCTCAGATTTCAAAGCTACAGTGTGGTATCTCCAGATGATGCCCTTGAACACATCGGTAACAAAATAAATCAAACCAGAGAACTTGATTTTACATTAAAAAATGCTTAGCTGGATCTCTGTGCTGCCATGCCACTAAGAAGGGATCAGGGCTGTACGTGCTAAATGCTTCAAGAAAGATATTAATTAGGATTTGAGGTTTTGTTCACATAGAAGGAAACAAGTGTCAGGGAAAAAATTTTTAAGAACATATACACATTATGTTTTTAAGAACATATACACAGTCCTTGATGTCCCGCTCCCTTCTATGTCTTACCATGTCAAATCGTGCCCTGAAAATGAGCATCGTGTGTGCACTAATGTACTTCTAACATATAGTGCATGGACATATACTTAATACATTAAAACATAAACCTGCACACACATTTGTCCACGTTACTTCTTTGTTGACCAAACATACCCCTATCTACTGACTAAAAGTAGTAAACTATCCGAAACAAAATGTAAGCTTATTACTAGGTAAAAAAAATCAAGTGAGTTCATCAGTTGATGGGCAAAAAAAAAAGTATTTTGTTAAGAACTGGTCTTGGAAAATGGACATGGTGGAGAGGCTATTTATTCTGTCTACACAAGTCAGCAGCTCTTCGCGGACGTGACCCCAGCTCCAGTGTGCTCTGGATTTCCTAGAGCTGCTCCTCTCCTGCCCTCGGCATTGGGCACGGTTACGGTTGCTGTACTTGAGCCCAGGCTCCTGCCAAAATAGGAGAGCTGAGCATGGCTGGCTCTTCTGCGCTGTGATGATGGGGTTGATGCCACATCAGGTGGCCCATGAAGCCAAAGCCACCAACTCCCAATCCCACATTATTCTTGGAGAAAAACGGCTGCTCCAGGAAAAAGGCTGAGTGAAACTAAATCTTGATTTCTTTAAGTCAAATACGTTTTCAACTCTTCATATGTACATAAGCGTATATATATACACATATATATGGAAATATATAGATCAAAATATTCTTTTTTTTTTTCTTTCCCACAGACACCTGCTTCGATTTTTCATCAAGTTACTGCAAAGTCCCTTTGTACTGGTATGCGGGTTTCCTATCAGTGCAGTCCAGCATTGATGCAGCAGTCATAGAAGTAAGTATGATCATGATGGAAAATACGTTTTTTTTTCCAGAGTTATCTGTAAACTTTTAAATACATAGTGTGATTCAAAAGCTAAAAGAATGATAGATCATCCTCATGGCTCAAGGCAGCTGTTTATTACAAGGCAATATAAAAGGGTACTAAATATTGAAGTTATTTGCCACTTACAAATGTAACATTGTTATTGACAAACTAATAATTTTAGTGCTTATGAAAACCTGTTTGTTCTGATGTTGGCTGTTTCATTACAGAAAGTCAGATTAATGGCTAATTTCTCTTCTTTAGATGAAAACAAACCATTCTGTCTGGGAAGAGATGAAGTCAATTAGCGGTGTTCGTCTGAAATCACCCTCGATCAAACCTGTGTATAAACTGCATTATATTTGGTTCATTATTTACATTATATTGTGCTTCTCCCCATATATGTACTTTCTATCAGTGAAAGTTATAAGAGAGAAAAAGAAGCTCAAGGTATTAATGAGAACAATGGGTTTGCAAGATATCGCATTCTGGTAAGTCTCATAGAAATAAACAGTGTCATTACAGGAATTATATTATCTTATGCATATAGGATGTACACTAGCTTGCAGGATGGATATGGGTCTGGTACCACCGCTCAGCTGAGAAGCAGTAATTCCCCAGACCCCAGCAGCAGTCATTTGCAGTTGCCTAACCATACGTCTGGGCTCTCTGAAGCCAAGTTTTGCATGTTGTTGAAGCAAAACCTTTGCTGCTTTTATCTGTAATGTACTGTTTCCCAGAGGACCTGAGTTTCCAAGCACATTGCTCTGATGCAGGACTTTTTTTGTTGTTTGTTATACTTAGCTCTGCTCTCCCCCCCAAAAAAAAGAGAAAGAGCACTCTTAGAATCATAGAATCATAGAATCATTAAGGTTGGAAAAGACCTCTAAGATCATCAAGTCCAACCGTTAACCCAACACCCCCATGCCCACTAAACCATGTCCCTAAGCGCCTCATCTACACGTCTTTCAAATACTACCAGGGATGGTGACTCCACAACTTCCCTGGGCAGCCTGTTCCAAGGCCTGACCACTCTTTCAGTCAAGAAGTTTTTCCTAATGTCCAGTCTAAACCTCCCTTGGCGCAACTTGAGGCCATTTCCTCTCGTCCTATCGCTTGTTACTTGGGAGAAGAGACCAACCCCCACCTCGCTCCAACCTCCTTTCAGGTAGCTGTAGAGCGCGATGAGGTCTCCCCTCAGCCTCTCTTCATGTAGCAGAGATGCGTGTAGCAAGGTTCTTGGTGTTGAGGTGTTGGTTGCCTCCAGGAAATGGCTGGATACACACAGAGAACATAAAAAGTGAAGAAACAACAAATTTTGGAGAAAACTGCAAATGACAAAGCCCAGGGGGACATAGGATCTATCAGAAGGCTTCCAAAGCCTTCTGAGCATGAGTATTTCACATCATTAGGAAAAGCGTTAGAATAGGTGTTCCTGGCTGCAGAGCCTGTGCTTAGATGCCCTGTGGCTCTTTGCTGACATCGTTGCATCCGCAGAGATTTGGGTAGGTGCAAGACAGTGATATTTGCACCTTTCCAGTCTGGAAGCTGTAAATGGAAGTGGTTTTGGGAATTATGAAATATTTGAATTCAAAAGAGCGTGTCTTGTACTGGCCATGTAATGGCATGTGCTGTCATGTACAAAGGCAAAAATAACAGTGCCTTCATTTGTAGGTTATCCTGGAGCTTGCTGTACACCATTTACGTTGCAATAATGGCAAGTCTGCTGACACTGATCACGATTAGAGAAGTCATCTATGATCACAGCTTTTTTGAATTTTTTTTTTTTTATTTCTTTTATGGCATAGCATCTGTAAGTCTGCTTTTGTGTTCTATTTTTTCCATTTCCCAATCAAAACACCTAAATCTCAAAGACTACAGAGTACTCTAGGGCTGGGCATTATATGAGAAAGTAACAAAAACTTCTCCACTACTGGGATTTATTGTTATAATTTGTAGGCTAATATATCACTCCTATTACATTTTAGGAGATTCTGACTCGAAATCAGAGTAAAGAGAGGTGCTAACACCAGCATTAACGGGAAGGCTGATGCTGCGTGCCCTGGGGCCAGGGCTTCCTCCTTGCATCCAGCCTCCTCGGGACGCTGAGCGGGGTCTGATCTGTCTGCCCCTATAGACCTGCCCTAAATATCAGAGCTGTCTGCTAAATGACGCAAGCCTTGTGATGTGCCATGTGCATCCACAGGGGACAACTGAAACTCAGCTGGGTCCCTAATGTTGCTTGTTGGATTTTCACGTTGGGTTTTTTCCTTAATCGCCAGCAGAAATGCATCCTGCTAATTACTGGTTTTCTCTGCTGCAGATTCACTTCTGTTTTATGATCAGCTCATTGTTAAAGCAGCCAAATATTGCCAGTTTCGTGGGATTTGTCCTTCACATCATCTTTGGATTGCTGGGCTTTTTGACATTGTTTGAAAAACTTCCACCGTCTTCGGAATGGATTTTTAATCTCTTCAGTCCTTTTGCCTTTACAGCTGGCATCTCAAAGGTATGTTCAAAATAAAGCCAGCACATCATAAAAGTTCAGCCCACGGCAAACATGGTGCAGCCTTCTGCCAGATAACAGTAGCTGCCATACATGATTTGCATTGCCATAACGACCCGATCGTGCCCCTCTGCCCTAGATGCTTTGTAAAAAGAAAACTTGACTCCAAAAACTACATGCTCATTCATAACAAATATAGTTAGATTCTCAACCGCATCACAAATTTTACCAGCTCTGTATATACGATGAATTTCAATCTCTGGAAAATTATTGCAGCAGTGGGATGTGACTGGTGGGCACCAAGATCTGCAAGAACTGTGAGGTCTTGAAGTGCTGCCCCAGCAGATACTGTGTGCATCCCTTTTCTGGTGTAGTAACTTCTTCTGCACAATTTTGAATTCAGCTTACTGAAGCACTTCTGATACTTGTGGTCATAATAAAGTGTTGGCCTGCTTGGAAACAGCATCATGATCACGAGTGGGCATGGGTTTCTGGTGAAAATGGTCATGATGACACAGCAGTGTGGCTTGCACGTAGTATTTCTGGCTAAAGGAAGTGTTGCATCTGACTTGTTCTTTTTTCCCCTCTAGATGATAAAATTAGAAAAATATGGATCGGCCTCCACACCAGAATTGTACCCTTTCTTTAACCTATACATCATACTGACCCTTGACAGTGTCTTGTATTTGCTGTTGGCCATCTACTTTGATAAGGTTTTGCCTGGTAAGTAGAAATGTGAAGGAAAGAATACAAATTTCCTTCCATTTTTCTTCTACAATCCTCTCCCCTCATAGGGGGAAAGCTGACCAAGAAGCGGTGGCATAGAGCTGAGAAAGCTGTAATCTACGTGGAGCAACAAAAGAGGTGTCCCGGCAGTGAGCTGGTCAGGTTGCAGAACTGCATCTTAACAGCAATAAGCTGTGCCACGTTATGTGAGGGGCTGAAAACTGCATTTGCTGTGTTGCTCAGGAAAAAATGGTTGGGAAGAATCCAGGAGCTGGGTGCATGTAGCTGCCTCATTTGGCCCTGCCTCAAAAACAGGCTCCCAAAGGAATGTTAAACCTTGCAGCGAGGCACTTGAGATCCTTTACATCTACTCCAGCAGCCCTAACCACTGGGTTTAAAAGGATGTTGTAGAACCTGACCTGATTTTTTTATAACTTCTGGGCCAAAGAGGTGGTCAGTGAGGTCTTTGCTGTGGTTGTTCCCCACCTGCATTTACTGGTGTGGACGAGTGGATAACTTTGCAGGACTTACCAATCCTTTTACGCTGCCAAAAGGCTGTATTCTGCAGCTGTAGAGGAAGAGATGGCTGGACGTGGCACTTATCAAAGCTGAGTTGACACGTAGCAGGTTTTGGTTGATATTTCACCTTCTTTGCTTCTGAATTAGGCAAATACGGAGTACCATATCCACCGACATTCTTCCTGAGACCGTCATACTGGTTCAAGCCCAGGAGCGGGTACATGGGGGTGCGAGCTGGCAGTGAGAGCAGCCACGACCCTGTCCTCAGCAATAACACCGAGCCGATGCCTCCAGGCTTCGATGGGAAGGAAGTGATCAGGTAAAGACTCTTGTAGCCATGAAAAATACAACGCTACACGATATATTTGACTCTAGAAAGCATAGCTGTATTGCACCGGTGAATGTTAGACTGAGCCGTCTAACGTATACAGATAAGATTAATGGCAAATACATGGAAGGGAGGGTTTGTTCAGTGTTTCATTCTTCTCCAGAGCTGGGGTTGAACATTATTGGACATGGTGTATCTTCTGTGCCAGGGACCGACTTGCTGCCCAGCGATTTCCCCTTTGCAGAGCAGCAGCAGTGAGTCTGTTCCCCTCCACCATCGTCTTTAAGAACACTGCTGCTGGAGCGTGCTGCATAAGATGCTGTTATTTACATCCTTACAGGGCTAGTTTGGCCCATTGCTGTTGCTGCCCATTGCTTATTACTAGAAAGCAAATATAAATCTACTAAAATAATAGCTAGGGCATCACTTTTAGTTATATAACCATGTGTTTTCTCATTCCCTAGGGCCTCCCTCTTCATTCACTAAGTGTTCATTGAGTTTGTCTTTGAAACCTTTTAAACATCTTTTAGACAAGTACATTAGTTAACTCTGCTTTTAAGTGTAGAAGAAATGAATTATATAAAGCAATTCCTTCAGATGGAATTACGCTAACCCCTGATGGTAATGAGCAGGACCAGTTTGAGGAGGAGGTTGAGAAATATTCTTCCCATAGTTTTCAAAGGTTACTTCGAGGCAGAGAAAACATGCCAAAATTGTGAGATTCAATAGTAATGGCTTGCTTACCTTTCCTTTAGACTAAACAATATTAAAAAAATATACAAGAAGAAGGACAAGAGAACCGAAGCTTTAAGGGGTAAGAGAGGTTTTGGAATACTTTTAATTTCATTTTTCACTAGATATGAACCCAAACTGTTTTGAAATGTACTGGATGTACTTAATTCTGTCTCCAGCACTGTTAAAATGCATTTTGCAATGGTTATTTCTGCAATATGGTAAATTACTGGCAAATTTCTACTAGGTTGTTATTTTCCTGTTCACTCCAGGAAAATTATTATTTATTATTCTTTGAAAAAAAGACCCAACCCAAACATCCCAAAAAAATCCAAAATAAGTCTTTTTTTTAAAAGGAAGTGAGGTAGCAAAGTCTGGCTGCTTGGAAATAACTCTTGAAATCTCACGCGTTGGAAAGGCTATGGGTTCTTCTCTTTCTGTGGACTCTCTCTTGAGCCACGCTAAAATAAAAGGTTACGAACCTCGTAGAAACCAGAAGTCAAAATTCTTTAAATATTGACGTTAATACCCTTGTTCCCTCAGTTCAATCAAGACATGACTACAAGTCCCTTGCTAAGTTTAGTCCTAACTTCTGAAGATGCACCCCATGTTTTTAGATCTGTGTTTTTGCCTCTCAGCTTCAAAAAAAAAAAGTCACTCCTCTGCCATACTGGGCAGCAAGCTGCAGGTACAAGTCTATTTCTCACAAACTTCCATCCTAATGTTATCCCATTTCTATTCTAGGTTTGTTCTTAAATGTATATGAAGGCCAGATCACTGCATTACTTGGTCACAGTGGATCTGGAAAAACTGCTCTCTTAAATGTGCTCAGTGGATTTTCCAAGCCTTCAGCAGGTAAGATGATGCGCCTGAATGCTGAAGAGGAGAAGCTGTTTGTTTTTCCAAGTGTAAGAGCGTAAAGATACAAAAACCCCAAGTTTTCCCTCAGTTATTCAGTCTGGCTCCTTGTCAGTGCAGATTGTTCCTTCAGCACGAGCTTCAGGGCTGATGCATCCCTTGTGGATACGCTCGTGTGTGCAAGCATACACAGATGGTTATTTCTCCATCTGGATGGCTTGATGTTTTCCATGAGCTGCGTACCTATAGGAAATATGTTTTAGTTCTTAAGGGAGAGATTTGGTGCTCTGAAATATTTTTGAATGGTATTAAAGCTTCGGACAACACAAAGTTATTTTGCCTTTTTTTTTTTTTAACACTTGAAAAACACCCACAATACTGGAATTAATGTCAAAGGTATGAACACACAGCAGTCTGCTTTCCCCTTATAGCTGGGAAATACTGTACGGTATGAAATTTGTTTCATTCAATCCTGTGTGCAGGTTCTGCAACGATATACAACTACAAAGTGTCTGAAGTACAGGATATGGAAGAAATTCAGGCAATGGTTGGGATTTGCCCCCAGTTTAATCTGCATTTTGAAGCCTTAACAGTGAAGGAAAACCTGAGAACTTTTGCTCACGTCAAGGGGATTCAGCGGAAGGAAGTAGAGCAAGAGGTTAGTATGTGCTTATCAGTCACTGTCCTCTGTTTTACAGCATCCTGGACGCCTTGAGCTTTCTTTATAAAAGATTATCACCAGCATCTTGTTCTGTGGAAAAGAACAACCCTTATTTAGGAAAGAAGTGTTTTTTTCAATTCGTTCTTATCCTCATGTCATAAGAGTTATAATTCAGATTTGCAGTACTTACCTCTAAGCAAAGCCATTTAAAGTAGATAATTTTAAAATCTTGAAGTTACGCTCTCCTCTACTGTCTGTAGCCATGTAAGAATTAAAATGCGACCAGTGCTTTAGAAATCTGGCTCTTGTCTTTGTATATTGCCAAGGTGCAGAAAGTTCTCGTGATGTTGGACCTCACCGACCTTCAGGACATCCGCGCCGATACTCTGAGTAGGGGACAAAAAAGAAAATTGTCTCTTGGAATTGCAATTTTAGGGAATCCTCAGGTAGGGACCGGTCATATTTACACACACACACAACACATACTGCCTTTGCATAGTTTTGCATTTTGATTTGGCACGCAGCCGTTTGTATTTTTCCCTACTAATTCACTTGGCTGCTGGACGGATCGAAGAATCTAGGTCAATGAGAACTATATTTTAAATGAAAACAGCAATAATATTGTAATAGGAGAAAGAGCAATAAAACTGACTGATATGTGAGGATGCATTTTATTCTTAGAGTGAGATCATCAAAAGCATGAAATGAAATGGTGTAAACATGGAAATGCCGGCTTGAACACGTGGAGATCTGACCTTGTTCGCCTTTGCAGGTGTTACTTTTAGACGAGCCGACGGCTGGGTTGGATCCCTGCTCCAGGCACCACGTGTGGAACCTTCTGAACGCCAGGCTGGACGCGTGCCGCTCTTCACGACCCAGTCCATGCAGGAGGCCGATGCTCATGCTGGTGAGCCCAGATTTTCACACTGTGGTTGGGTACGGTTTGAAAACGAGGGTCTCTTGTTGCAGAGCCCACGTATGGGTCCTGCCACGATGCAATCTGTGCTCGCTGGACACATTTTTCTGATAGCGACCACTCAACCTGGGCCGAGCAAAGGCTAAAACTGGACTGACATGCCCTTCCCAGACCTTGTTCATGCTCTGCTTCAGGATGAAGCAATTGCATATTATCTGGATGTACCACTAGCAGCACCCACACAAATTAGTGATATTGTTTGAATTAATATCTTTCCTATTTCCTTATTGCTCCCGGGCTGCATAGGAAATTTTCCACAAGACTGTAAGAATACATAATTAAAAGATTAACCTTGGTGCTTAGGAGAAAGGCAGCAGTTCAAAAAGAAAAAAAACTTCAGCACTGGCCTGGTTTTACTCCTCTCAACTTCATTATAAAAATGTCTGTTGAGTTCAGAAGGAGCAGAGTGAGGTCAGTCTACTGCACTGTTGTAAATCCCCCCTAAATCCTTTGTATTCATACCTCCTTAGATCGGAAAGCTTTTCTCTCAAATGGGATATTACAGTGTGTTGGCTCATCTCTGTACTTGAAGAGAAAATGGGGAATTGGCTATCGCTTAAGGTAAATCCTTTTCTTTTTGGTCATCGCTCTTTTTATAAAAAGCTTCTGGTTGATGTATTTTCTTGTAGAGTCTGTGTCTCTATAGCGTTTCTATATAGAGTAACAGAAATCTTGACAATTCATTTTAGAAAACTTTTGAGGCTGCCAAAAATATCTTGCTTTGGATAGCAAGCTGCTTTTCTTTGGAAGCCAATCCTGAAAGCTCTGAGCATGTAGCTAACATGACTTTGCAACCTCCTTCGCAGCCAAAAGGGGACCAGAGTAAGATGAATTGCAATTTCCACGTACTCTCTGGTGCCAGAATGACATACAATGGCTTTAATGTAAAGTTGTTTTTCTCTGGATTTTAATTTCTGTGTTCTTGGTTTAGCAGTATTGGCCAGGATTATTATTCTTAACCTCAACTATTTCTCGCGTGCATGGCAAAACCAGGGGCACTGCAGACGTCTATAAATTTTCCACTGAAACGCTGCCCAGTTTTGGAGGTTTCCCTATGGCTTGAAGAACGACCGCTGGCTTTGTATTTTAAATGGATGATGCAGGCATTTTTTTTCTTATTTAATATTATAGCAATTGCTTTTTAATACAAACAGGATGCGCATAAATGACCTGTGTGACTCTGAGCTTACATCATCCCTGGTCAGACAGTACATCCCCCATGCCGTGCTCCAAGAACAGAAGCGGGGTGAGCTGTGCTATATGCTACCTCTGGAAAACACTGACAGCTTCCCAGGTAAGCAAAGCCTGTCGTTGCATCAGGGTTGTAAAGGGAAGCCAAGTGGTGGGAGAAGCAGAAAGCAAAGTTGCTGTGAAGGGAGTAACTGTATTCCCTTGTCCATGCTGCATGGGATTAGGAAGCCCAGAGCTGCATAAACATCAGCCTTAAAGAAAGCCTCTAATGCCCATGCTAATATCAATACTGCAGATGAACAAAAGAAAATCCACCAATTAATCTACAAACTAAAATCCACTGAGTCTCCCCTGGTTTCAGGATGAGATTTCTCCCACCAGAAAGGCCCACGGTAATCAAGAAATTTGAATTTCCTTCTTACTTCTAAAGAGCACAATAACTTTGCCGTGGCTTTTAAGCTATGGAAATTAATGATGTGAATGCTAGAAGGTACAACGTTAATCATGCCAGTCTGAGTTTCTGCTCAACACTAGCCCTGGTTGCTGAGCTGAGTCTGGTTGTTTCTACCGTGCAGATCTGTTCAGCCATCTCGAGAGCAGTCTTTTGCAGGGGGTTGTTAATTATGAGGTTAGCAGGACAACCCTGGAAGATGTTTTCCTGAAGCTGGAGGGCGAGGAAGCCATTGATCAAGAAGGTAAAACATTGACTCCCATTTGGAAGTGTGGCAAAATTAAGGTTCCGTATATATATGTGTATGTTTTAATTGAATATCTAATGAGACTCTTAAATGTGCATTTTGGTAGGTTTTGGTAGGTCAAGAGTTGCAGTTGTATTCCGCTTTGCTTTAGTGAAGGATATCTTCTTGAAGAAGTCTAGATGATTCAGTCTCAACTTCCCACAGGCTTTTAAGCACATGAATTAAGACTGATGTTGGAAGGGTATTTGCTTTTGAAGGGTATATGGCCCAGGCCAGGAGGTGGGAAGAGATAAACTAGCCAGAAGGCATTTCACAAGGCCAGTGAAGGTAATGGATGTGTTGCCATACGAGCCCAGGTTCAGCCAGTCTGAATTCACCAATGTAAATTATGTTCTGGGTAGATTATGGCCCCTTTTCTCTGCCGTTATTTCTTTCCTGGCTAAAAATGAAAGCGTTCCTCTATTCAAAACAGAAGATCCTTGTTGACTGTTTGCGATTAAAATGTGTCCTTTGAACGCTCTTTGCGGATAACGGTATTTCTCGTGCAGAAGACAGAGACCTCGAGGAGAGAGACCAAAGCCTCCCGGTGTTTTCCGAACCGGGGAGCGCGGCAGTGAGCGGGATGGCGCTCTGGAGGCAGCAAGTGTGTGCCGTCGTGAGAGTTCGCTTCTTAAAACTAAAGCACGAAGGAAAGTTTCTCAGGTCCACGTAAGTATGGGAGCTCTCGCCTACTCTGCAGCCCTCGTGCTGGCTTGGTGCTTTCCAAAGGATTTGATTGTTCCCTTGAGTGACTGAGGGAAGGCTTAAACACTGGTGGAGGTGTTTGGAAGCTAAAAATTATGTGGGAAATGTTTGAAAGCTGCAGTAATAAGGACAGTTAGGATTTACTGGTAGAGCTCTGAATTGTTTAAGTTTTAAATTTCCCCTTGCCTTTCTCAACACAATTACTTAAAGGTGGAGTTTCCCTGGACCCACTTATGGTCTGTTTTTCCATCTAGATTGCTGTTCTTTGGAATATTTATCCTTCCAATGCTTATGATTTTCATTGGATTTCAACTGTGGGACAGCTCCAGCAACTGGGAAATCACGGCTAGCTCGTATTTTCTTCCCACTGCAAAGAAAATTCAAAATAAGTCGACAAATCTTCTCATCTTCAATGATACAGGTGAAGAAGAACGTGTGATGTTGATTCGCTTTCTGCACCACTCTGAGTCCTCTTAGAGTTGATAGACCAACCTTGCCTTACTCTTACTGTATGTTCCTTTATATATTTGTGGCTTTGGGAAGTGTTTTCTTTTGAACAAAAGCAAATCCAGTTTTAGTGCTGATAACGAAGTAGCTGCTATTTAAAAGAATAATGAACCAGGAAATTTTTTTCAAAAAGCCAATAAACTAACTGTGGAAACATACATTGTGTTTAACCAGTTTTAATTAAAATAGGAAAAATAGAGAAAATACAATTTTGCTAAGATTCTGAATGATTTTTTTTTTTAACATACCTCTGCTTTGCAAATGGGAACTTGTTTATAAGAAACTATTTAGATTTAAAGAAAAAAATGTACTTATTCTAATTTCTGTTTTTGACTTAATTTCAGGATCAGAAATTGAAGATTTCATTTCTGCTTTGAAGACTCAAAACATAATCCCAGAAATAACTCTTGAGAAAAACATCACAAGCATTCCACTACATAACGGAGCTATAAAAATATCCCTGGAAGGCAAGGTGAGTGATGTTTTCTTCTTCTTTCATCCTGTATGTCAACAGGATTTTCTGAAATGTGTTTAGATGAGGCACAGCGAAATACACACACCAGCAAAAGGGAGAATATTTGTTTGACATATTAAATAATACCAGTAGCCCTCTTTGTGGGAAACCAGGATTCTATTTGGTTCTTTCCACTGCATGCTTCTTTACAGTGATCTTTAAAGAAAAGCATTAATGCCAGTCTTTTGTGCTTTTCTCCACAAATTGTTGTCTTTATCGATCATCTTGCTCATGGTACCTGTTAGTGCACTTCCAGGTCTCTGTGGTCGCACCAATAAAACTGCCTGATTGCCTTTGTCGTTGTTTTTCTCTAAACCCTTCACTGCGGTCAGCTCCTGCTCACGCCTCTCACGGGCACGAAGGTAACGTCTTTTGCTCTTACATCTTCAGAGCTACCGATTCACGGTCATGTGCAGTGCAGAACCCATCAACTGTTTCCCCGTGCTTGTGAATATCCTCAGCAACACCTTCCTAAGGCTCTTCAATTCCACTGCGCGCATCCGCATCTGGAGCGAGCTCTTTTACAGTGTGAGTGTCCTGCCTTTCTTGGTGAAAATTAATTGAAATGGCCATGCTGAAGTGATAAAGACTGGACGGGCTGGAAACCTGGTTGGATGAGCAACATCTAAGGGTTGGGGTCCAACTGCTGGCCAGTTCCTGGGGGGCATTGCTCAGCAGTCAATACTGGGGCTATTTAATGAGAATTTCTTCTGTTTAAGAGCTCTACAGGGTTTCAGTGCCATAAGACATTTAAGCTTGTGCTATGTGGCAATATGGTAGGAATACAACAGTAATACTTGCAAACCCCACCTTTCTTCAGTGTCCGTTTGCCAAGAATCAGCATCAAAAAGTTGGTCTCTATCCTCAACAATTTACAGTAATTCCAATAATTTTTGTAATTTTTAAGATGTTAAATGCTTTTTTTATTGCCTTGTTTTGTGTTCTTGAACACAAATGACTTACCATTAGTGTTGTTGCTCACTTGCATGTTTCACCACTCTATGAGCATCGAGCTAGCCAGATTTTCCCTGGGCAGCTGTTGATTATTGATGACTTCTGAATTTCTCTTCTGCAGACACAAAGACCAGAAGTAAAGAGTAATGTTTTTTTCACCTGTCTCAACTACGTGCTGATTTTGGCTGCTGGTTTGCCACCTCACTTTGCAGTGAGCAGCATGGAGGATTACAAGGTAAAAAGCATGCGGTGAAAGTCGTCTTACACAAGAAGTGAATGCAAATGCGATGTCTCTGGATAGCAGTTTGTGTGCGGGTGGGCTGGCCAGCACTTCTAGGTAGGATGCTAGAAGAAATACAGGCATACGAGTACAACATTGTACCAAAGCACGCTACCCTGCATCTCAGGGAATCAGCTTGGGTTTAGAACAATTTGGGTGTTAATAAAGACTTTGGGGTCAGGAGGATTTTTTTTTTTTTTCTTTTTACGAATGATGTGTTTTTAAACAACAGTAAAACTAAAAAAGAATTTAAATTAGCGGCTTATTAAATTGGAGGCTGACGGCTTAGACAGGTACACTCTTCACTGG